TTTGAAATTTCCAAAAACATCCAATTTCCTATGAAAATTTCTAGATTTTGTGATGAAATCTTGTAAAAAGATGAAGTAGATTGAAAGAAATGAGTAGAAATTGTTTACCTATGATTTGGGGAAGAACTTTTCTTTGGAAAATCGCTTATGGTAGCTTAGGGTTTGAAAATTTGAAAGAATGAGTTGAAATCTCGTCAAAACCTATTTTTGAGCAGTTGCAGGTATCGCATTTGCGATCACATGTTCGCAAATGCGACCAATGCTTCGCAAATATGAAGAATGGCCTGACCATCTACCTTCGCAAATGCGAACCAGTGTTCGCAATTGCGGCCTCTGCTCTTGTCGTATTTGCGACTCTGAACTTCGCAAATGCGAAGGTCCCCTACCCAGCCCAGTCATCGCAAATGCGATGGTCCTTCAAAATTGCGGTGCTCGCATTTGCGAGCTAGATGCGAAGTCTGCAGACTTGCAATACCAGCAATTTTTCCTTAAGGGTCAAAATACTCCGTGGTCTATCCAAATCTCACTCGAGCCCTCGGGGCTCCAAACCAAACATGCAAACAAGTCTAAAAACATCATAAGGACTTGTTCACGCGATCAAATCTCCCAAATAACATCTTAATCAACGAATTTAGAATCAAAATCAATAAAAATCTGAAGAACTCTTAAAGTTACTATATTCACAACCGAGGGTCTGAATCACGTCATATGAATTCCGTTTCTTACCAAATTTTACAGACACAACTTAAATACCATATTAAACATGTACTGGGCTCTTGAACCAAAATACGGGCCTGATACCATCAAATTCAAACATTATTCAATTTCTAAACTCCTTATATTTTTCAGTTAAACAATTTTCTTCAAAAATTCACTTCTCGGGCTATGGACCTCGAATTCAATTCCGGGCATGCGCCCAAGTCCCATATTTTTTTACGGATCCTTCGGGACCATCAAATCACAGGTCCGGGTCCATTTACCTAAATTGTTGACAGAAATCAACTTAATTCAATTTTAAAGGTAAAATTTAGCATTTTTCTCAAATCTTCACATAAAGGTTTTTCGGATATATGCCTGGACTACACACGCAAATCGAGGTAAGACAAAAGGAGGTTTTTAGGTCTCGAAACATAGATTTGACTTCTAAAGCAAGAGATAACCTTTTAGGTCATCACAGATGCTATCATGATCTGTGCCTTTGCTTCGCTTTGCTGTTTTGTGCCTTCATTTTTCTCCTTTTTTGCGTCCGTTTTCGTGCCACGCACGAGAATAGACGAGCTCCCAATCCTTTCATTTTTCTCCTTTTTGCAATAATTTGATATCTTTTGCTCCATTATCATTCAAGCTCACTTCTACAAATAAGAAATACGTACTAAGTATAATTCACTTCAAATATCATGTAATCTCCCACAACTCACATGACAAATGAGACGAAAATACACTCAAAATCATGCACTTTAGGCCATTTATCATCCGGCCCTTCCTCGAACCCTACATATAGCGGGAGCTTAATGCACTGGGCTGCCCTTTTTTAACACATGCTTGCGGGTGGCTTAAAAAGAACTACAATGGTCTTTGACATTGCAACTATTGCAAAAGAAGCAAAGGCATCTGACGATAAAAAATAGCTGAAGTTGGAGCAGAGATTGAGCTCTTAACAAAGCAGAGTTGAGCTGGTACCTTAGCATGGGTTGTTGTTTAGGACATTCTTTACCAGAGTGTAGATGCACGTCCATTTTTCATTTCTAGAAATTCTTTAATTTTTAATGATGGTGGTGTTTAGGCTAGTTTACTCGCACATCATCTATTTCGCCGGGTACGTCCCAGTGGCACAAGTACCGGGGTGAATCTGCCTACCAAGCTTAGCATATGGGAATTTGGGGGGAGGGGGGATTGTTTATTATTTTTTTCATTTTTTTATTATTTAATTTTGCCCTGGGGGAGGGGGGTAGTAGTGCGGTTTGGAACTTGTACTGATTGAAATTATCCCTATAGGGGCTGATGTCACAGGACTGTGAAGAAATTGTAAATGAAGTAAGAAAAGTAAAGATAGAAGACCTTTAATTGGATGTTCACATAGGCAACAAAAGAAAGAACCTACTTACCTCCTATTTGGGTGGGAGGGGGTTTGGGGGAGAGGGGTTAATCAATGTTTATTAATTAATGTAACTTGATCAACTTGTATTTTCCATTGAACATTTTTCTTCGTTTAAGCAAAGGTCAAGTGTTAGATAACAAGTTAGTTTGTACAAATTTTTCTTCTGGTTTATCTTTTGACTTACCTTCTCGGAAATATTTTAGTCAATTTCTGTTTTCTATATTTTCACTGTTCAGTCAAGTTCGAGTTTCTACATTTTCAGCGTTTAGTCAGGTATTCTAATTTTAAATGTTCATAGCAGGCATTCTATCTAAAAGCTAAAGAAACACGAATGTATTATGTTTCTAGATGAGATTGATCCATATAATCTAACTGATTCACGAGAAGGTCATTAATGATCCTAAGAAAAAAGCTCTGATACTATTGGTATAATAACAACAACAACAATGACCCAGTAAAATCTCACAAGTGGAATCTGGGGAGGGTAGTGTGTACACAGACTTTATCCCTACCCCGAAGGAGTAGAGAGGTTGTTTCTGAAAGATCATCGGCTCAAGAAGACGGAAAAGACGAGAAAAAAAAGGAAAGGAAAGGGACAATATATTAGTACCATCAAACAGAAACCAAAGAAATAAAAACAACTTCATAAGAACTAGAAAATAATTGAAATGCAATAACAAAATCAGAAAATATGCCCCGATGCTATGAAAAATGGAAGGATAGTGTGAATACAACATTGACCATTAGCGGTCTAAGGCCAACCCTATCGAACTAGCCTCGCCCCAGACTCGACTACGTCCTAACCTACAACCCTAATGTATGTGAATATTATTAAGGCATTTTCTCTAGCATGAGCCAAACTACTTGCTAGCTCTGGGAGAAAATGTCAATCTTTCTCCAATTCATATATTGCAATAGAATATGTGCATACTGCAAGTATTAAATGCTTCAATGGCAGACAATTTCTTTCAATCAACATTTTTAAAGAAATTTTTTCCAAGCGTGCTTACAAGACCGGTAGCATACAGAAAATGGAGCATAAATTCAACTAAATAAGCAAAAAGAAGTATTTCATGTCTGCTTCATTTTCAGGGAGCATGCAAAGTAAACATTACACGGAAATATTCTACAATGACTAGTGGGCTTAGATTGGAAATATATGTAAAGACTGTCTGAAGCCAACTGTCACATAGATATATGTATCTCACAAGGCTATACGAGTCAGCACGGATACATCCTAGTGGCTCAATAACAATCACTAGACTTAATATGAAGGTTCAAATCCAACTGTCTCCCCTCGAATTCGCAGTCATGTTCTCAACAACCCCCCCCCCCCCCCCCCCCCCCCCCCCTCCACCTCGACTTGGGGGGTTACAAAGTAAGAAAAAATGAAGAGCTAGAGTGACTTGTCAACACAAACTTACGAATTAATTTGTCATATGTGAGAAGGGAAAAAAGAGCTAATTAATGATGCAGCAGAAATGTACAAATCAAAACATGACTGCCTTTTGCTCATTATGCCATGAATTAGTGATACTGGGAGCACTAGAGGCTTTATTCCAGACATAATGAACGTAGCTAACGTACTACCCTTACCACTCATATTAATCAGACACCTACTACTATATAGAAAAAAGACGAACAAACAATCTTGCTATTACCATCAACAACATCCGAGATGAAGTGAATTTGCAGTTATTTCAACTCCATATCCTGGTTGAAATAAAGGTCACTCAAATTTTTAGAGTTTAATTGAATGACATGAATCCCTCAGCCAAAGCTATGATTGGGCTACAGACCGCAAATCAAGAATTTCTTGGTGTACAAAAGGAATGCCCAAAAATTCACTCCAAGAAATATATGTATTTGTCTCGAGGAATGGAGGCACATCATGACTACTCAAGAATATCCAAGATAAATTTAGAATGAAAAGTCGCATGTAAGATTTATTTTCTGAAAAACACGCCTTTAAAATTTCTCCAATCTTTCTTTGATCCTCACTTTTTCTATTCTTTCCCTCAATACTTGTAAATGTGTATCAACAACATGTGATCTCCCTGCTAAAGATCACCAAATGCATCAAACAAGTTGACATTGTTAACGTAGCTACGCGATGAGAATAAAGAGTAAGTCACATTCCTAATTCGTTTAACTTTATCATTATAATATCAAATACAATTTCTGACAATAATGTCATTAAATTTTATTCACTATAATAACAAACCTACCTATTAAGGTGATTGTAGCCGCTAGTAGGTGGAATTATTGTCTCTACTTTCTTGGTCAACGGTTGACTGGCATCAACTTGACTAATTATTTAAGTTTTTTTTTTAAACATGATTTACGTATTAAAAACAAAAAATTTTATTGAACACAAACTTAATGATGAATATACTTAAAATCTCTTTGAAAAATTTCAAAGAAAAAATTATTGAGTATCTAACTGTAAACTTGATCAGTTGGTTTAATAACGACGAGAATAAGTAGAATATGCAATGAGCAAGTCTAAATATCGTATGCAAATTGTCTTTCCACCCTTAATAAATAAATGCATAACGCAACAATGATTTTCATTGTATTTCTCTTTTGGGATTTCCAGGTCATTTCGGAGATTGGACAAATCCATATTGCACAATTTGACATGCATTTAAATTCAAAAAGATAAAAATAAAAATAAGCAAATGCATGGATCTCCCCGATACTCATTGTTCAAAATCAACATTAGTCCAACTTGTAATAATGTGGAGCACGTGAAATTATCTTAGATGAGATTTCAACATTTCCGTTTATTGATTGGCACTTTCTATTAAAACAAGTTGTTACCGTTCTATTAGAAGTTATAATAGACTATTTATCATTTACACAGTAATAAACCTTAAGAAAAAAGAGAATTGGTCTTTTCTTCTCATCGAATTTGTTCACAAGTATAATAAATGTGTTCTTAATCCTCTCTCGATTTCTCCTAAATAAATGATATCGTAAGAATATTGCCCGAAATCCATCTCCAATAAGATAAAAAACTAACAAATACAAAGTTACTTTTATGTTGTATTGGTACATGTTAGATGGTACTTGACCAAATCCATACTAAAATCCCAGAGTTTCTTAGCCAAATCCATGTCCTTAGCCATCGCTGTTGGCGTGGCCAAATTGTTGTCCTGAAAATATTCACCACTTACCCCCTTCACTTGTGGATGTAATGCAAGATAACAGGTGGTTGATGCTCCCTATAGAAGAGGAAACACGAATGTTAAACTCATCATTTGCCATGGCATCATGGTTTTGTATTCTTTCATTAAATATTTTTCTTCGTCTAAGCAAAGGTCATATGTTAGTCAACAAGGAAAAGATTTATTTTGTGCCTCACACAACTGACACTAGTTGTGTGAGGCCTCTTTTTTTGTCTCACAATTTTGTGGACCCAAAAGTGTAAGATACTGGTCTACAAATTTGTGAGATAAAAAAAGGAACACACAATTAATGTCAGTTGGGTGAGGCACACCATAAAACTTCTCATCAACAAGCTATTCTGTGACAAATCATCCTCTGGTTTGTGTTTTGACTTACCTTCTGGGAATTTTTTTTAGCCAGGTTCCGTTTTCTATGTTTTCAGTATTCAGTCAGGTTTCAGTTTCTACATTTTCACTGTTTAGTAAGGTTTCATTCTATGCTTTCCACTGTTCATAGCAGGAATTCTAACTGAAGGCTAAAGAAACACAAACAAATTATGTTTCTAGATGAGACCGATCAATATTTATCTAACTGATTCACGAGAACATCATTAATGATCCTAAAAAAGCTTCTGATAGCAAGAAGTGGTACTATATGCCGAATATTATTTAGGCATTTAGCATGAGCCAAACTACTTGCTCTGGAAGAAAGTGTCAATCTTTCTCCAGTGCATAGATTGCAAAAGAATATGTGCACACTGCAAATTTTAAATGCTTCAATGCGGAACATACCTGTTGAGCATTTTTAAAGATAAATTTTCCAAGCGTGCTTACAAGACCTGTAGCATAGAGAAAAGGGAGCATAAATTCAACGGAATAAGCAGAAAGGAGTATTTCGTGTCTGCGTCATTTTCAGAGAGCATGCAAAACAAACATTACATGTAAATATTCTAACAATGACTTGTGGGCTTAGATTAAAACTATATGTAAAGACTGTGTGAAGTCAACTGTCACATAGATATATCATATATGTATCTCACAAGGCTATGCGACTCAGCAAGGAGACAGCCTAGTGGCTCAATAACGCCCACTAGACTTAATATGAAGGTTCAAATACAACCCCC